AGACCATTTAGTAGCCAGCCGCCATCTTTGAGTATGTCTCGGTTTATTTATTAGTGGGTACATCTTGTAAATGAACCCGTGTATGTCGAGTCAAAATGATATGTTTAAATATTTTGTAAATTTTAAATTCAAGTCATTTTGGGGCTCCCATTTCTGTAAATAAGTATTACACATTTATTTTATTATTTATGTCAATATATGGATTTACGTGAATGAATACATTGTTTTAAAAGAAATTTTTTGGGAAAGCCACTTAGGTGGTTCGTGTGACGTCATAGTTCGCCGATCTTTGGGTCGTACTGGATTAAGACATTACAAATGGACTATAAAAATGGTTCGAACTGAAGTCAACATTATCTCTCATTTCCAAATATGAAATCATATTTCCCTCATCACTGGCCCTCATTTCAAATTGGTCCCTAAACTTTTAAACATTTCAATTTCATACTTAAACTATGACTATCATTATAAATTAATCTTCAACCTTTCAAACATTTCATTTTCATCTCCAAACTATGATCTTCATTTTAAATTGGTCCCCAGACTTTCTAAATATTTCAATTTCAATTTCATCCTAAATTATATGTATATACTAATCACATATCTTGTTAATAAAAATCATTAGGCCTAGTTGTATTATTATATTTTGAAAAATAAAAATAAAATTTAGGTTAAACAATTGTTGAAATGGATTATATATTTGGATGAATTTGGGGATGAAATTGGCAGATCTAAAAGTTTAGGGACCAATTTAGAATGAGATTCATAGTTTGGGGATGAAATTGGAATGTTCAAAATTTTAAAGACTAATTTAGAATGAGTCATAGTTTGATGATGAAATTAGAATATTTAAAAGTTTAAGGACTAATTTAAAATGAGTGTCATAGTTTGGGGACATATGATGCAATTAACTCATGCATATACGTACATACATACACACATATATAAAGTTACATATTTAGCTGATGTAATTTTTAAAGTTGGTAATACATGTGCCAATGGATTATAGAATTAGTTTGAATCATTGAATTGATCTAACATAACTCGTATCCAATTTGGTTTGACTTGACATTATTTAACCTGAAATCTAAACGATCATCTGATTTCATATCTCTATTGGTAGCACGTGTGTCAAAGGACTATAGAATTGGTTTGAACTCAAGTCGACATTATAACTCATATTCAAATATGAAATCACAAAGAGAAGTTGATTAATTACAGGAAAGATTTACGCATTCAAATTGAATGGAAAAGATCCAAAAAGGGGAACTACATCTAAAATTCATGCATGTAAGGACTCTAAATGATACAAGTTCCTTTGGAATTTTATTCACATGTGAAACTCATTTCAGACACCCAATTGGATAGTTTCACATTGAAAGTGTGGAATCCAACTTGAGTTTAGTACAAATCTCAACATGTTTTTCGGATGCCATCAGTTTTGTCATAGTTTCTTGTACAACTCTTTCCAATAGATTATGCACGTAATTTAAAGTTTCTAAATTTTAAAGAGGTAATTGGTTCCAATTCTCAAATTTTTCGAATAAATTTTTTAGTCAAAATGGATTTTTATAATTTTCCTTTTAAAAATTAAATTAATAAAACTAAAGATTTGAAGTTAAAAAATTTATTTGAGAATTTTATAATTTATATTCTATTTATTTTAATCAAGACAAATTTGCAAAAATTAATTTTAAATGAATTTATTGTAAATAGGCTTATTTACCAGAGCCTTTAAATTAGTTCATGTTGGTTTCCCTCTTCCATTTTTTTATTCTAATTTTTAGTCGTACGCTTAAAATTCTTCGTTTTGCTCTCAAAATTAAATAACCAGTTCATTTTTATCGACTCCCAAACACAAAAGCTTTTCTAAATCTTTTAGCAAATCAACATGCTTTTTGGCCGACGTCCTAAACAGGCTTTGAGATCAACGATATTGCAGCAATTCTCCAACTCTCGTAGGAAAAATAATTTGGTCGTGCAGGGCGCATCACGACATCCTCATTGTTTTCTGAGGTCTCTCCACCCGCACACGCAAGTTCTGCAGCTCAGATTTACTGACGTCAACTAAAAATAACCACGTATGTGGGAAAGATATTAGGAAAAATGATTTAGACTTGCAGGGAACATTTTGACTGATTATACTTCAATAGGAGGTGTTACACACTTATCTCACAAATTATTGATGGAACAAATGGATCACGACAACCGTAGATGGTTTATCCTTTTTGATTTGGGAGAAAAATGAATGGTCATCGACCGATGTCACTATCTTGTCTTTATTAGGAGGTAAGAGAGATGGTTGGAATAAGGGGGTTGAATCCTTTCTCTCAGTTTTGTTCACGGGATTTTATAATGGTCTTAGTGTTAGATATAGTGTTATTATGGCTGCCTATAAGTTGGTAGACCTAGTGTAGACACTCGTTTTTACCCAGGTTTTAATTATTATTTATTATTATTATTATTATTATTATTATTATTATTATTTTCATTATTTTCATTTTTAAGTTACAAAATTTGAACACAACAGAGATTCAAGCCCACATACAACACCCAAGCCCAATGGAGATCCAGGCCCAATGTAATGGTTTAGGCTCGTTCATGAGAACCCAAACCCGACTAGGGTTTCCATTTTACCCTAATACTCCTTGCCGTCGCCATCAACAGAAGATGGACTGTCTATCGTGCACCTTACCGTTCGTCTTCATGTCACGTCAGGCCGTCACCAATAAGCCTGAGTAGTCGTCGTCATCAAACATGCCCAAAACAGTGAAAAAAATCAGTCAATCTTCACCAAATCACAAAAACCAATAAAAAAATCACCTAAATCCCAGTAAATCCGGGATATTCACTAGAGAAATCATCCTCTACGTAGAGAGCTCATCATTTCACCCAAAATCATCGATAAAATTAGCATGCAACAATCAAAATGGGGAGATTTTTAAGAGAGGAAACATTCGAACCAAAGAGGGGAGATTCAAACCGAAAAAACCCCATTTTCGGACCAACAAAAAAAAACTCACATTCGAACGCGAAGAGACCCTGCCCAAAAATGAGAAATGAACAAATACCTTAAAATCGAGACCACCTTGTTTCGTCAGAGACAAGGAAACCCGTCCTGAAGGTAAAAAGGTTTTATTTTTAGGTTTGGATTTAGGGATTCAAAGGTTTTTGGTTTTTCTTTGAATATCAAAAGGTTAGGAGAGAGAGAAAGGATGTTTTGGGACCTTTTTCCACTCCCCGAGACCACTGATCTACGGTGGCCGAGGAGTCTCAGCTGTTTATCTCCCTCGGTGTGGAGAGGAGAAGTTGAGAGTTTGGCTCTCTCTCAAAAAAAGACGAAATGAAGCAAATGGGAGGAGAATGGTCGGTTTGGGATTGGTTTTTCACCATATATACCACACGTGAAACGACGTAGTTTTGGGAGGGGGAAAACTGCATTTTGGTGTTCGGGTAAACCCCTTCTGAACCTTCATACTTTGTAACTTTCCATTTTGGTCATTAAATGAAAAGCTCTTGCATGTTCTATTTCGGGTCCGAACTTTGTTATGCTTATGTTTTGGTCACCATGTGTTTGTCATTTATTTTTGGATAACACTTATTGCGATTGCTAGTTCTTAGTTTAGTGCGTTTCAGTCCCGATATGTTTTCTTAATATATTTGGTTTAATGTTTGCTTTAGGTTATTGATTCATGATTTATTTCATTTAGATCAATGTCTATATATTAATAAAAATTGATATTTAGGATTTGGTTCCTGAATTTTTTTGACTTTTGTTTTAGTCCTTTAAATATTATTTTGGAAGATAAATACTTAGTTTGTACTATGGATCTTGGATTTTAACTTGAGGTCATTTTGATCATTGTTTTGGTTACAAGTGAAATTTCATGGATTTGTTACTTGTTTATGCTTTAGCATTATGTCCTTTCATTATTTAACCCTTTTTGTAATTTAGTTTCATTTTAGTTTTTTTTATTCTGATTTAAACATTTAGTTAATACATGTTGTTTATTTATTTTTTAGATATGTTATTAAATGTTTTAGTATTATGTTATATGCGTAAATAGATTTGCTTAATATTCCGTAATTCCTGTATGTTTATGAATTGATTATCCCTATATATTAAATTCACATGAATTAGTCTTGTATTAACATGTTGTAGATCTCTCATGTTTAATTAAATATTTTATTAGCTAATTCGAATACTTTCAAAAGACATCCATCATAGAATGGGCATGAAAAACACTAACTTTAAAGAAGTAGTGCGATTCAAGAAGACATTCGAACTATAGTGAACTTGAAATTGACCAAAATTTTATAATAATAGTTAATTCATTCTTTTATTTTAATAGCAATTTATGTTTCTTAAAATGGTATGTCAAGTTGTTTTACCAATAATTTTCGTTCGATTTGTGATCTTTGACAACACTGAGGAGATGACATTTCTCGTATAAAAGAGAAGTAGAGGGGATAGCCTTCCCATAGGAGGATATGCAAAACTTAACGTGCTGGTCGGTGGGATTACAACATCGTATTCAGTTCAATTGCTATGAACCGAGTTACTTTTCTTCCTTGCATGAAATTGCAATAGCAAAAGCTAACACAGATAGCAGCAATGATAAAATGAAATGAAAATAAGGAAGCAACCACTGCTGCAAATCAAGATTCCATTGTTATCACCACACCACATTGGAAACAAATTATTGAAATCAAACCGAATTCGAGACGATAACGGCTTGTTGAAATCAATCTCCTAAGTTAATGGACTGAACAAAGTAAAAAAGGAAACATTTGCACACCTCAACCGAACCATATACTCATTGTCGAGATACCAAACACACTTCTTCCATACTTCAATATATTACACAAACTACAAAAACATACAAACCTTAATTATACTTGCTGTAACTTTTTCAATCACACATACTTTGTCAATAAGTTACACAAACTACAAACACACTTAAACATTAATTATACATTTTATTTGTTTCCCTATGGAACTAAATACATTTAGTAGCCCAAAACACATACACCTTGTTACCAATATGCTCCAACTTTCCATAATATGCATGCCTCCATGACCTGATGAAAAACAGGGGAGCCACCACTCCCCAAAATCCCATTACAAACCCAACAACCATGCTCACATAGAACCCGTTCACTTTACTTCTTCCACTGTTGTCTCCATTCTTTGTAGCATCAGTAGGAACACCTTTAGTGCTGCAGCTTTTACTCACAGGAGGCCCACAGAGATGATTGCCCATGAAGGATGAGTTTTCAAAGCTTTGAAGCTGAGTAGCTGTTGGGATTTGTCCTGTCAGGTTGTTGTAGGACACGTTGAAGTGATTCAAAAAATTCAAATTGGAGAAACTTGAAGGGATTCCACCATGCAAATGATTCATCGACAAATCAAGTGATTCCATCAACTTCATGTTGCCAATGCTGTCTGGTATATTTCCTGTTAGGAGATTCCTTGAAAGATTTAATGACAATAGCCCAATGAGAGTACCAACTTCTTTTGGGATATGTCCTGTAAAACTATTAGCTGAAAGGCATATGCTTGTAACAAGTCCCAGTGTGGTACTATACAAGTCCTCTCGCCCTTTCAGCACCAATGACGCACTCATCAAATAATTGATCCTATCTGCATCTTTACGGTACAATACCCCACCGTAATAGTGCTCACTTTGTTTTTCTTTAATGGCCATTGCACTTAAATTTCTCAAACATTTTGGAATAGCTCCTGAAATGTCGTTGTGTCCAAGGTCCAAGATCTGAAGAGATTGAAGAGCGCAAATTTGATGAGGGATAAGCCCAACAAAGTTATTTGACCGGAGGCTTAGTACCATAAGGTTAGAGAGCTTGTCACCAATCCATGCAGGTATTCTTCCACTGAAATGATTTTCACTGAGATCAAGAATAACCAAATCAGTACAATTTTGCAATGTGGAGGGTAATTCTCCAAACATGCTATTGTTCCGAAGGTTTAGCATTTCAAGACTTGCATCTCCCAAAGAAGATGGGATTCTTCCTGTTAAATTATTGTTTTCCAAATTTAAGATCCTCAAACTCCACCAACCATTCCAGCAATCTGGAATTTCTCCAGAGAGAAGATTTGTATCAATGTGAAGAACGGACATTGATGTCACTGATGAATTGCAAACAAATTCAGAAAGGGATCCTGAAAATAAATTCCTTGACAGAATATAAAATAAGCTTCGAAATCTCTCATGGAATCGGTTTGACAACAGTCTTGGCAGTGGACCAAAGAATCGGTTTGAACTCAGGTCGACAATTTCTTCTACATTCAAATATGAAATCTCTCCAGTAAGTTGATTACTGGAAAGATTCACAATTTGAAATTGAGAGGAAAGGTTCAAAAACCAAGTGGGCATGACGTCCGCTATTCCCGTATGAGATAGATCTAAATAAGACAACTTCTTTTGGAACTTCAACCAATGGGGAAACTTGGGGCCAAGATGCCAATAACTCAATTTGATAATTTCACATTGAAACGGAGGAATCCAGCTTGAGTTTGGTTCAAATCTCAACATGTTTCTGGATGCAGACAACGTTGACAACTTTGTGAGATTAGAAAAATGAGTTTCCGATACAACTCCTTCCAATTGATTTTGCCCAATATATAAACCTTCTAAATTTGCCAATTTCCCAAAATTTGGAGGAAGAGTACCATTTAATTGATTTTCTGAAACATCAAAGACCTTCAAAGATGATAACTCCCCTATCGATAGTGGAATGGGACCAGAAATGTTGTTTCCAGCAAGGTTCAGGTAAGCTAAATTTTTAAATTGCCCAAGTTTATGAGTTAAATGGCCAGAAAGTTGGGTATATTCCATACTCAATGACTCTAAGCTATCCAAACAACATTTAGACAGACTCCGTAGGATTTCTGATATGTCTTGATCAATTCCATTATATGACAAATTCATCTCCTTCAATTTGCAAAGATCTCCTAAAGAGGCTGATACTTTTCCTTGAAGCTGATTGTCCGACATATCAAGGTGAATGAGAGAGCTCAAGTTTCCAATGGCATTTGAAATTTCGCCTTGGAAATAGCTACCAGTAAAACCAAGGGATTGAAGATGGTTTAAACTATACAAGGAGTTGGGTATGGATGAATTGAGCGAGTTGAAACTTAGATCAATAACTTTAAGAAACGACATGTTCCCAAAGTAATCTGGAATTGGGCCTTCCAAAAAATTACCACTAAGATCAAGCGACACAAGACCATGAAGACCAAATATCGACATAGGAACTGAAGATAATTTGTTTGCAGAAAGATCAAGAACGGCTAGTGAATTTGTAGAATTAACGGTGCTGATCGGAGATGTATCATCTTGTAACATGCAACCAGACAAGTGCAACTCTAACAAAGAAGGAAGATTGGATAATGTTACCTGTAGCCAATCAGTTGCTTTATGATGATCCACATGACTCAAATCAAGGTACTGCAAAGAAGTAAGTCCAGAAATCCATTGAAGACTTTTTTCTTCTTCCAAGAAATAATTACCTCGAAGGTCAAGATACAACAACTCTGATAGATTCCCAAGGTTATGAGGAATGGCTCCCAGGAATAGTGCTTGGGAGAGGTTAAGATATGTTAAACTCCCCAGAAAACCCAAAAACTCAGGGATTTGAATGCTGCTAAAATTGTTATTGCTCAAGTCAAGCCAATTGAGATGATACAACTCCAGCAGAGAAGGATTGATTTTGCCTCCTAGAGATGAACGACCGTAACTTTGCTGTCCTTCAGGAGGAGACAAGAGAAGTTGGGTGACGTGGCCTGTTGTGTTATGGCAAACAACACCATTCCATTCACAGCAATCCCCACCTTCAACCCAGGAAGATAGCCTGTTTGAGGGATCGATCAGATCATTCTTCAACTTCAAAAGAGCGTCTCTCTCACTTCCAATGCAAAGCACATTGGAATTGCCATGGCAGAAGCTAACACAGGCAGCTGCAATGAGAAGAAGAAATGGGAATGAGGATATTGTAAGAACTGTCATGGTTGCAATTGCATTGTAGTAACCTTTTCGAGCAACTGCGAATATATAGAGAGTCATGCTAAAAATAATATGGTAGACAGCACGTGCAAGGAACTTTCACTTGAAGAGAAATTTCTAAGTTAGTGAACCCCAAAAAAAACATTAAATTAATAGTCAAAAAGCACACGGGTTAATAATTGTGAAAAAGATGAAATCATGGAAAGGAAAAAAATCCTATCTTAATAATTAAGTTATGAAAAAACGAATTTAATCTGAATTTCAATTATTTACCGAAAGAAATCCTTTTGTTTTATTTTAGTTTATTTTCCTTAATTATTAAAATATATTTTTAAAAGTTATCACTAATTGAACAATACAATTTTTAATCTTCTACATCTATAGTTTTTTAGGAGGCAAATTGATCAATATTATAAGCATAGAGGACTAAAACAAGGTTGTTTTCCTTTTTTATAGTTTTCAAAAAAAAACTATTACCAATAAAATTGAAATTAGTACTTAAATTTATGAAAATTGAGGTTTGAAGACTTTTCAATTCAAATACAAAATTGAGGTTTGAGGACTTTTTAATTCAAGCCAACTAAGTCTACGGAATAAATCCCACTCCAACGGCATGGCTATCCAGCTAAGAGAGAAGAAAATAGAATTAAATGAAGTTTGAAATTTATTGAATATTTATTTCATAATTTAATTTATTTATAACTTCAACATTAATATCTTAAGTATGGTTGATAATTTAAAGTTAAAATTATTTATTAATTTTTTTAATGAGAAAAATATTAAACTCTACATTGTTCATGAAATCATCCTCTTTTCAATAGAAAATAACTTGGGTGTGTGTATTAAAAGTTCTTTTATCTTTTTGTTATATTTTGGGCTTGGAGACTCTTGTAAATGGAAGGGAAATTGCAATTTTGTATCTCTCTGTTTTTCACCTGTTATTAAAACTGCAGTATTTGGATCTGCACTTGATGCACAGAACCCAGTAAAGATATTTCTGAAGAATTTAAACCAACTGTAGGAAACATAATGGAAAGTAACCAAGTATCATGAATTCTTTCGATTAAAAATGTTCCAGACTTGAAGAGTATTACATTCAGATTAACAGATGATCAATCAATGATTTCAAATTGCTTTATTCAGCTGTCTTCGGTTAAAAATTCATTTGTCATCACTGCCTTAAATGCCCAGAAAGTCAGTTTGTTCTTCTGGTTCTTGTTTAGGCACTGCAAGGAAACAAAAAGTAAGAAAACTCTCAAGGGAGAAAGCCTTACACCTGTAAGACAAACCAAAGCCATACCTCAGCTGCATCTTGTGCTGCTGAGAAAGTGAATGATAATCGCCTCACACAGAAGAATCAGTACTGTATCAACTGTATGGCAAGCTTTGAAGCCTTGGAAAACTTGGTGGGGTTCTTGATATGTGATGCAATCTTCTGCATTGCCTCAATAAATTGCGTCTCTGAGGCATCTGTTGTCATCTTAAATCTCAAGCGCTTTCTTGTACAGCAGCTGGGAAGTACAATGCATAACTAATCAGCCACTTGCAGATAGAGTTCAGCCAAAACATTAAGCTTCAAGGAAAACATGCAGAGTAGAATAATAAAATAAGAGAATTTAAATAAACAGACAAACAATAATAGCATACAAGTACCATTCCTTAATTCATTATGCCAAATCAAATCATTTCTACATCCAAGTTCCATATCATTAAAATATTACGACACAAAATCCTCAGTTTCTTCATCCCATGCACCACCATATGCATAAGACCACATATATCCATTCTGTCCTCTTATTATTAGTTTCCTTCTATAAATTGAAACCTATACAACTAGAATCTATAGTCAAATCAATACGAGGATTAAAATTCTTCTTCCTTTCCATTTCACTTTTCCAAACACATAAACATAGGGAACTCAAAATTTAATCTCTGTTCGCTCCTAGTCCCTCACAAACCAAATGCTAAGGTATGTTCACAAGACCCAGAGACCATATAGAATTATCTTTCCCAAAGCACTTTCTTTGAAACTGCAATACATATTAACCTCGTACACAATAACAAAAATACTTCCAGAATCCAAGCCCAATAATCTCTTAACCCTGAAATAAATGCACCCATTGAAGAAAACATTGAACTGAATGATGCTGCAAACTCCCAAAATTATAATCTAAAATCACATCCTCAGCTTCCAAAAAGCAAAACCCATTTCAATTTCCAATTCACACTAGCAAATAAGTTAGCTGCAGCCAGAGTTCAAAATCACATAAAAGACATAAAATTATATGAACCCACAGACCAAAAGGGAAAAAGAGAATTCTTCAAATTGTGGGTTGGGTTTACCTTCAGGGTTCGATTCAGTAGGCTTAGGTCTCTTGACAGCACTTTTAAGAACCGGAGTTGGAGAAGCTTCCTTGTTATTGTTGCTGCTACTCATCTTCAAAGAAAAAGAAATTTGATCATTGATTTGATTCCCTTGGTGTTTTTCTCTGTCTTGTAGCTGCTGGTGATGAGAAGGCGGTGGTAATTCTTCAAATAGATTGTCAGTCATTTTCTTTTAACTAATCAGCAACCTTTTCTTCCTTTGAATGATTTCTGGGTATCGTTTGTAAAACTCAGAAACTTTCAAAAGTTTTCATTCGAATTATACTGAAATATGCAGGGGAAAGTTTTCCCTTTTCTACTTACCCCTCAAATGAGTTTTCTTTTTTTATTTTGAATAAAGTAAACTACATAAATGATCAATGGTTTTTTTTTTTTGAAGTTAACTATTCGTTAATCAAATATTAAGTCAGCACAAACAATAACGTTCAGCCAATCTGGAATTACAGAGGAAAAGGAAATAGACGTAATCGAGGAAGCTGCAACAACTGGCGTGCTTCAAGAAGGTAGAACCGAATAGTAGATCGGTCATTTACATGATTTTGAAGCTGCTGCACAACACTCATTGAATCACTTTCAATCACCACCGAGGAAAGCCCTAAATCCACTGCCAATCGAATCCCCCGAGAAAGTTCCATAGCTTCAACAACACCCGTCGATCGAGTCGCCACAACTAGTAATGATTCACCCGCCATGACTGATCCAGCACTGTCCCGGACTAGAACGCCAATAGCTATAGATGCGGGTGAACATAGACAAGTCCCATCGACATTTATTTTAAAAGTACCTACCAGTGGTTTCTGCCACCTTTGACATGAGAGACCTGAATGCACCGGAGATGATAACGAAGAAGACTTTGCCATGACAGCTGAGAAAGTCGACTGATGGTTAGTAGCCGAAGCGATTAATTGCCAACCAGGTAATAAGCGTCCTTCATGAAGTATAAATTTCGACGGTGCCAAATCTTCCATAGCAAAACAAAAAGAGTAACGAATCGTTGAACCGTCAAATTAAGCATCATGTTCTCTAACCATGCCCCAAAGGATGAGAAATTCCGTGATTCTGTCCGGTAATCAAAACCAGCTTCGACCAGAATTGGAGAGATCGTCGAGCAATCACTCAGAGCATGGGAGACCGTTTCATTTGGAGATCCGCATAAGCAGCAGCATACATCGGAAACACCGACGTGGGCGAGGCGACATCCAACACGAAGAGCCTCGTGAGCAGCGCGCCAGTTAAACACACGAATATGAGGAAGAGTTGAATAATCGGGAAAAGAAAACAGAAAGAACACAAGAATTTTAACGATGTTCAATAATGTGCTTACGTCCTCGGTGCCTTAGTAATTTTTATTCAATTCAATGTCTCATAGGTTTAGGTTATATCTCCTTTTATAATAAATAAACTCCGGTGTCGACAGTCATTTTGTCCGAGACTATATATTATTATTATTATTATTATAAAACCATGGCCCAAAAATAATACAACCCGAAGGCCCAAGACCCGATCCAAAACCCAGAGGCCCAGATCCAGACCCGGCCCAAGATCCGATTCAGATACTTCTAGGGTTTTCTGCTCATCTTCTCCAGGTGCTCCAACCAGATGCTGCCACGCCTTCACCAACTTGACGGAAAACTTCAGAAGCCGCAGGAGAGCCGCACACCTCGCCCTATGGTGAGTCACCATTATAGATCAAGTGACTCACCAAAATGAACTGTTGTCCGAGGCCTATAAAAATCCTTGAAAACCTACAAGAATATCGGAGGGAAAACACGGAGAGAAGCAACGGACGACAAAGATAAACGAACAAAGGAAACAAAAGAAAGGAGAAGAGATCATACCTCAATTGAAGCTCAAACGTCATCGGAAAAGTGATTTTATCGAAGAGAAAATCTTAGATCTAGTCCGATTGACTAGATTTTAGCAAAAATAGAAGCTTGGATTTAGGACGAGGGAAAGCCAATCTACGATTTGAGCTATTTTTATTTTTTCCGGCCACCGTGAATAGTGAGCGATGAATAGTAGTCGGAATAGTGACGTGAATAGTGACTGGCCGGTGGTCGGCCGGTGACTGGAGCTCCCTCCGGTGAGAGAATTTAGAGAGAAGTGAGAGCTGCTCTCTCCTTAGAGAGAGAAGCAAAATTAAGAAAATGAGATGAATTGGTCATTTTGAGCCAAATTTGGGGTATTTATACCCAAATCAAAACCTCGTCGTTTTGGGGAGGGAGTGTGTGTGCAATTTCAGGATTGATAAATCACGTTCATGGTCCCTGTATTCTGTAATCTTCTATTATAGTCACCGAAATCAAATTTCTATATCTTTTAATTTTGTCTTCATATTTTATTTATTTTTATTTTACTCACTACCCGTATATTTACATATATTTAAATAATATTTTAGGATTATTTACACTTTTAATATATATATTTTATAATATTTCAAATTATGACCAATAATTTATATATTTTTTATTTAATCTTATATTATTATTTTCGTTATTATTTAATTGTTATTTTATTTTATTTTTATTATTATCTTTTATATTTAAATATTTTAAATCTAGTACTTATTTACTATTTTTTATATTAGTCATATATGTATCTTAATAATATATACCAGTGTTTAAAATAAAATACATATAATAAACAATAAGGACAAAATAATTCCATTATTAAAA